CTCTTAAAAATCCTGTGGAGCACAGTTCTTCTCTGACACTCATGGGGTCACCAGGAGTTGGAAACGGACTCAAGGGCAACCTAGACAACCAGTTAGTTCCTTAATGTTGCCAGACTTAGAGATGACCTGAGCGGTGTTTGTATGTAAATGTTAAAACGTTAATGACTTGGACGCTTATGTTATTGTCAGCGCAGCTAGAGCCTTCAGCTTCATGAATTATTATTGTTCATTGCTTTTACGAGGAGGGCATTTTCTGCCCTTCCCTTTTCACTGTCTTCTCAGTTTTAATCACTGACTTCTAATGAATGGGCTGGGATTAACAGAGAGCAGGGCTGAATCATCCGAAGAAGAAACTCTCAAATGTTCATTTGACACGCTGTTGGGCCTGGGAGAACACACAGGTCTATTGAAAAATTCAGATCAAGAGTTTAGTTTTTTCTTCTAGAGTTATTTAAATTTTTAAAAAGGAAAAATTGTACTGTTTTTGCTACCAAAGTTAAGTCTACTGGAGGCTACACATAGCCTCATAATCTCAAGAAACCACAGGAATAATTATTTGCTGCTATAACTGCATCTTCAAAGCACTTATATACTAAACAGATGGACAAGCACGGAAGGCGCCACGTTAGAATTTTTCATGCCCCCTCATTAGACAGGGACTTATGATCGGAGCCAGACCCTAGAGGTTTGCACCAAGTAGCTGGGAACACACTTGTGTTCATCCCAGAATACATTCTAGATTATGCTTAGGTTCCGCAGGAGACAAACAGTATTTCAGGAAGAGAACAGCCCAGGAGCCAGACAAATAAGAGACCGAGAGGAAATGAGAACAAGGATGTGCGGGGGAACATGCTGTCTTTCCTCATCCCTAGTCGCAAGTCTCCATACCGTTATCAAGGACCAATGGACGTGCTGAAGAGTGAACAGCAATCGTGAAGATGGCACAGGACCGGACAAAGTTTCATTCTGTCCCACACAAGGTCGCGATGAGTCCGAAGCGACTTGACAACAACTAACAACAATCACAGCAGCGTTCGCAATAGTTTAAGCAGAAGCAGCTTTAGAATAACATGTATTCTGTGGAGTTAACCTGTTGAAAATGTCAGCTGAGTGATCACCCCCCCCCGCCGTGGTGCTGTAAGCCCCATACGAGCACCCGAGCTCGGGAGCCCTGACCACAGTCAGCCCTGCTGTCCCTGAGGCTGTCCTTCCTCAGAGCTGCCGTGTCCGCCAGGGTGGCAGATACCAGCCGGCTGGCTTGAACTGGCCATGCTATTTCTGAGCATAGGATGTGAGTACATGCCATGATAAGTCAGACCAGGATATGAGTCAGAGTTTAAAAGAACTAAAAAGAGTCAAAAAGAACCGAGCTTTAAGCGCACTGAAAACATTACGCCTTGCTTACCGTGACTGTACAGGACCCACAGCTTGAGGGACGTTACACTTACCAAGCAAAGGAGAAACAGAAAAATATAGATGATCAGAACTGGCCAAAGGACTTGCAATGAAAAGAAATGGGAAGGTTAAAGCAAACAATCCAGAGGTCTTAAAATCTGGAAGTAAAAAGAAAGATGTATCACTAGGACCACATTTTTTCCAGCACACTTCAGTCTCACACGTAACGGAGTGAGACACGGGAAGCTTGGAAAAGCTTTATTTCCCCTTTAACACAAATGTCTGACCTGTACAGCAGCCTTTCTGGAACTAAACTAATGGTCCTACACAGGTTCTCAAAAAAAAAAAAAAAAAAAAAAATCTATTGGCACTGAGACGTAAGGATACACAAAAAAGATGACCATCTGCAGCACTGCTTGTAAAAGTGAAAAAGTATTAACAACCAAAATATCCGTAGATCAGTTAAATACATTGTTATGCCCCTGTGGAACACTAACAGCTGTGAAAGGGAGGCTATAACTTGAATATACTGGCATGGGATGATGTCCTGGTAGATAAAAAAAAAAAAAAAAAAAAAACTCATTGCCACCGAGTTGATTCCAACTCATAGTGACCCTATAGGACAGAGTAGAGCTGCCCCATAGGGTTTTCAAGGAGCAGCTGGTGGATTTGAACTGCTGTCCTTTTGGTTAGCAGCTGAGCTCTTAACCACTATGCCACCAGGGTTTCCCCATGGTAGCTAGTTATGGGGAAAATTAAGCTGTAAAAGTGGGCATGGGTAACTGCCTTTCTATTAAAAATCATACATACAGAAGGAACCCTGCTGGCGCAGCGCTAAAGAGACTGGCTGCTAACCAAAAGGTCGGTGGTTCAAATCCTCCAGCCACTCCTTGGAAACCCCATGGGGGCAGTTCTACCCTGTCCTAGAGGGTTGCTATGAGTCGGAATCGACCTGACCGCAGTGAGTTATCTCATAGAAATAAAGTACATAGGGCTATACTTGATATAGATGATATCGAAAAAGTCTCTAAGGAGCCAGAGAAAACCCCTTATAATCGGTATCTGTGACGGAGATGTATTTTATGCCCCTTTTAATTGTGTGTGAGTCCTTTACAACAAACTTTTATTACTTTTTTAAGTGAAAATACAGCCCACGAAGGTATTTATAAGAGAGGAGAATAGTACAGGCCTAGCTTCCTGTCACTGCAATGTTCTTGGATGCCTCAGCAGAGGTGTAGATGGGGGTGGGGGTGGGTCTTGCCCCTGGGTGCAAGTCCAAGGGGGCTCCAGAAGACGCAACATTCCGAAGCGCCACAAATATGAAAGGTGCCTAAGGCAGAAGGACAGGAGCTGGGAAGGCTTTCTGCTGATGTGTCCTCACGCTGTCAATGTCTATTCATCTTGAAATTGTGTGTGTGGGGGGTGCAATTTAGACACTGCCCCTGGGTGCTCACTATCCTTGCTCTGCCTCTGGGCCTCAGGGAAGCCTGATGGCACAGGGCTCCCAGAATGATCAGCGGCTTGTTTTCCCACTGAATGCCCAGGGGGTGAGCATGGGGAGGGTCACTGCAGTGACCTGAGCTCTCTGTGAGAGCTCCACAAGAAAGGAGGGCTTACTGGCCTAGGAGGAAAGCATGGGTCACGCAAAGGTTAACGTGCTGGGCTGCTAACTGAAAGGCTGGAGATTCCAGTCCACCCAGAGGCACCTCGAAAGAAAGGCCTGGAGATCTACTTCCAAAAAAGCACCCTTATCACAGCACGCTTACTTTCTAGATCCCAGGCACATCCCCACGGCCACGTAACTGTATTTCTGCTTCATGAGAGGTGGGGGAGTTCACTGCCTGGCCATAACCTGGGGCCCTGACCCCAGACAGGTCACTGCTCAACCTCACCAGGCCGGCATTTCCCGTACACAGCTTCACTGACTTGCTGTGCGAGGGGTCGTGGAGAGCTGGCAGCGAGAAGTGACAACCGCGGTGCCCCTGCTCCACCTCTGCTCTCCCGGCAAAGCCTCGCTGCACCAGGCTGTGTTTGAAGGCCCGGGAGAGGGGGATCGCGTGACCTGTCTCCGTGACTACAGGAATCCATCCTAATGCCCTCCCGGTCAGAATTTCCTCTCCAGAAGTAACTGTGCCGTCTGGGGAGGGGGGCGCCCATCTGCTTACGCACAGCGTGTAGGTCTGGAGAGGCCGGCGCCTCTGCCTTGCCTCCTGAAGGCTAAAGAGGCCCAGACGCTACTGCTCTTTACAAAGCACTTTCTGCTCTTCACGGCTCTTCCCTGAAGGCCCTTCCAGTCTGGCTTTCCCGTAGGTCACCCCTACTCATCCTCCCTCAAATGTCACTCCCTCGGGGAGCCTTTCCTAGCACCCCAAGGCCAAGACCCCTCGCATCACACCCCGATACATGGGCCCATGCCTCATAGCACTTAACCCCAGTTCTCATGTTTTGCTTATTCACGTGATAACTTCAAGTCCATCTTTTTCAATACAACATAAGCTCCCTGAGGGCGGAAATTGCATCTGTTTTGTTGCAACCCCAGAGCAGAGATGAATGGCTGGTGCAAAGCTGATACCCACTAAAGGCTTACAAAAAGAGAGGACTCTGCAAGGCTTATGGGGTGAAGCTTATACCAGAGGGAAGGGAGGGAGAGGCAGCTGAGGAGGCTTCTCTCCCTTGCTGTGACTAGCTAGCCTCCTTTATTTTTTGTCGTATGTGTTCAACTGAATAGTTAGCAAGGGAAATGTCACCTTCTCTGGGGACACTGATAACTGAAGGTTTATCTGAAGTGGGCATTAATAGTAGGTGAAGGTGATCGTTATGGATTGAATTATGTCCCCCAAGAAATGTGTGTATCAGTTTGGCTGGGCCATGATTCCCAGTATTGTATGGTTGTCTTCCATTTTGTGATTATCATTTTACCTTAAAGAGGATTAGGGTGGGATTGTAACACCCTTATTAAGGTCACATTCCTGATCCAATGTAAAGGGAGTTTTCCTGGGGTGTGGCCTGCACCACCTTTTATCTTACAAGAGATAAAAGGAAAGGGAAGCAAACAGAGAGTGGGGGTCCTCATACCACCAAGAAAGCAGTGCCGGGAGCACAGCGTGTCCTTTGGACCTGGGGTCCCTGTGTGGAGAAGCTCCTAGTCCGGGGGAAGACTGATGAGAAGGCCGACAGAGAGAGAAAGCCTTCCCCTGGAGCTGACGCCCTGAATTTGGACTTCTAGCCTACTAGACTGTGAGAAAATAAATTTCTCTTCGTTAAAGTCATCCACTTGTGGTATTTCTGTTAGAGCAGCACTAAATGACTAAGACAGTGTTTAAAGGAATTAAGAAGTTATAGCTACAACTCTGGAAAGTGACTCAGTTGAAATGGCAGAACCTTTGATGCTATCCCTCCTGGCTATTTCTTGGGGGCCCTTTAAGCTCTGTGCCCTTGGGGCTGCCCAGAGATGCTGTGGGTGCCCCAGGCAACGGCTGCATTGGAAGATGGACAGAATCTAACGGGAGACAGAAATCCTCCGCTAATATCAGAGAGAGCCCCAGACAGCTCTGGAGAGGGAGCGGGGCAGGGCGGGGCGGGGAGGGGGACGGGCGGGCACTGACCTCGGCTGATGCGCTGCTTCTCCCCAGACAGGATGCCCGGGCTGTCAATGATGCTGATGCTCTTCAGGACCTGGTTGGGCAGCTGGGAGCACATGAACCTGGAAGAAGCGGATCAGAGGTGGGATCAGAAACACACCTGCTCTACCGGCAGCTCCTTGGCCTCTCCGGCCTTACAGGTGCCATCTGTAGAATGGGGTTTAGGTGTGACTGACACAGAGAACAGATGCCAGTGGACGGGGAGGTGTGCGAGGGTGCACTGGGACCCGCTGCTGCCTGCCCCCAGACCCCTTTCTGTTCATTTTGATTTTTGCTATCATGTATTGAAGAGGCCCTGGTTAAGTGCTCGGCAGTTAACCAAAAGGTTGATGGTTTCAACCCACCGGTGGCCCAACAGAAGAAAAGACCCGGTGACCTGCTCCCGTAAAGGTCACAGCCCAGGAAACCCTATGGGGGCAGTTTTACTCCGTCCTGCCCCGTCCTGTGAGTTGGAATCGACTCGACAGCACACACCAACAATCACGTATTGAACACTTCAGTAGTTTACAAACATCACTGTGTTTGATCTTCACGTTATCCTCATGAGGAAGAAATTACCATCAACTTCAGAACACACAGATGCTCAGAGAGGTTGGGTAACTTGCTCAGAGTCTCAGAGCGGGGCCTTAAACCCAGGTTGGCCACACTTCATCTGTCCCCTCCTCCACACTGTTCCTGCCCCAGCAGCCTGGGCTTCTGCTCCCAGGGAACCGCACGCCTCCTTCGGGCTACACTGTCCCTTGGGCTGGAGTATTTCGTACTCCTTGTCCGTCCCTGCCCGCTCCACGAGAGCTAGAGGTACAGGGGCCTTTTTCACTGTCTGATGCCTCAGGGACTCAGCATGTGGCCCGGTACCTGCCACAGCTTCAGGCCTAGGGTGGGGCAGGCACCTGTGGGCAACACCCCAAATCTTCCAGGTGCTCAGGAGTCCTAGGGGTGTCCACAGAATGGGTGAAGGGGCCAGGGGCTGAGGGAGGTCTCTGGAGAACATCTCCAGCCTCTTTCCCCGTCCATCCCTTCCTGATACTATCTCCCTGCTCTGATGCTGACCTTCCTGCCGTGGCTCCAGTCAGCTGCCCCGGTGTCTGTCTCACAGGAAGCAGGGGAGTGAGGGAGGAGAATTCCGGCCTGTGGGTCAGCAGCCCTGGTTCAAGTTCAGCTCAGGCTTTGCCAGTAATTTGCTGTGGGGCACTGGACAAGGGCTTCCCCACTCTGGACCTCAGTTCCCTCGCCCACAGAGCCAGACATTTGGACCAGAGAGTGGTGATGACCTTTCTAGCGTCAACCTTGTGTAGCTCTGTGGGTACCAGGGAAACATTCTGCTACCTTCACCCCAGGGAATAGAGCCTGCTGGGGTCTTTGTTAGGCATTGCGCATGCTTTAAGGGGGAGCTGTAGAGTGCCTCTCCTCTTCCTGTATCGTGAAAGGCTAACTTCTATCTCTGTGTGGGAGAAGCCTGAAAATATGCGGTGGAAGCTCAGTCCTTCCATTCAGTGGGACTGGAGGAGATTACTCAGAAAGTAAATACGCTGGGAATGCAGGACGGGGGGCCCGCCCGGCCACCTCCGTGCACACGTAGACAGTACGGCGGGGTGGGGGTACCGGCCAATGGCAGGGTGGGGGGCCCAGACTGAGGACAGGGTTGAGACCCCTGAGTAAGAGATGCAATTACTGACATTTCAAAATAACTTTCCTTGAAGGTGCTCAGGACAAGTTCCTCACACATTCTTTCCTACATTTTCAAATTGCCTAGGAAGCTATAGGAAAATACATGATGATCACTTTGCAGCTGGAAAAATGGAAGCACAAAGCAGTTATGACATCTTGAGATCACACAACTAACACACGGCTGGCAGGAGTCTACAATCTAATATTTCCCATGTCAGTGGAGCAGAACGCAACCCTTAAAGTTAAAACCTCGTAACATTAAAAGCAAAGGTCTAGTTAATTGAAGAGAAGACCCTCATTTCTGATTTTCTCCTGCGCTTTCTGTATCTCTAACCTTTGAGCACACCCCACTGTCCAACACTGGGCAGATTTGCAAAAAAAGGCACACATGGATCACTAAGCAGTCTTTGTAAATTCACAGAGGGGAACCACCCTAACTTAATTCTCCAGAACTGGGGTGGGCTCAGAGCTCTGAGCAAGTCATGGTGGACCACAGCTCTTGTCGGTGATGAGTCAGTCTGTCACGACAGGGCAATCCTTTTTATTAGGCAGTCTGAGGCATTTGGCGATGCTGAAAAAGCTGCACGTATGTGAAACGATTTTACCCAAACTATTACTGTGGAGAGGCTGATCTTCCTCCCAAATCACAAGCTTGCACTCAATATCAACTTTTCCAAAACACAAAATCCCTGGATTCCAGCGCGAGCCTAACAGGGGGATTCCAAATTTATACACTGTTCTCTTCCTCTGTGTAAAGCAACAACATTTCAACACCCCCAGGCCTCCTGCCCAACAGCGGAGGCAAGATGCATGAGCCACAAACCAGATGCAGCCAGACATGGTGATGTCACCCTGAATACACAAGGGAGCTGGCCCAGGGGCCAAAAAGGGCAACTGCAAAAAAGAGGAGGGAGAAGAGGAGAGAGAAAGTCTCCAGGGCACCTGGAAAGGAGCTGTGTGTGCAAAGCTGTATGTGCAAAGCTCCACTCCACAAAAGAAAGCCTAGCACAGAGCACACGTGAGCATTCAGGCCCCACGGGGGCACAGCTCACACTGAAAGGGTTAGAACCACATACCAATGCTTTCTGAAAAAAAGTTTTCCAAAAAAAACCCTAATGCTGTTACAGCAATTGGGTCTTACCTGTATGCTTTAAGAAAGGAAGGGGAGAAGCAGGGTTATTTCTCTGGCACATCAGAATCTGTCCTAAATCAGGCCTTCCCAGCTTATGTGTTTCTGCTGAAATGTTTCCAGGCACAGATGTGCCTCCCAAGATGGACTTCCTACTCTGTCCCCAGAGCGGCTAACACGAAGGGTGTTCATCTGTGCCTTCTACACTTCTCATTAAACATGCAGACATATGCCGTTAAACGCAGGAGCCTCAGCATAAGCTTTTTTTTTTTTTTTAATGCACCATTGTGAGTTGTTTTGTTTTTAATTTTGATTGTGGTGAAATACACATAACAAAACATTTTCAATGTCAACCATTCCTCGCCAAAAGCTTTTCTGAAGTGTCTCCCTCACCAAAGGCTGCCCTGATATACTTTGTTTCTTGAAGTAAGAGGAGGCGGGGAGCGGACCGAAATCCTCCACCAAGCTCGCACTCCATGTCGCCTCCACATCCAAGGAAGGCTCAGGAGCAGCAGAAAGGGGAGGATAGAGTAATGGTCTTGGCTGCAAGGCCTCAGGGAAGTTGCCAGGAGTCTGCCACCCAGTAAAACAAAGGGGTGAGAAGATTAGATTACTCAAAACATTTCCCAAATGCCAAAATTCTAATTCAGTGAGCAAAAATTTTAAAACTAGGCTTTTAAAATAACCAGGTGGTTTTTTTTTTAAATTGTATTTTAGATAAAGGTTTACAGAACAAATTAGTTTCTCATTAAACAGTTTGCACACATATTGTTTTACAACATTGGTTAACAACCCCATGACATGTCAACACTCTCCCTTCTTGAACTTGGGTTCCCTATTATCAGCTTTCTTGTCCCCTCCTGCCTTCTAGTCCTTGCTCCTGGGCCGGTGTGCCCCTTTAGTCTTGTTTTGTTTTATGGGCCTATTCTTTGGCGGAAGGGTGAATCTCAGGAGTGACTTCATTACCGAGCTAAAAGGGTGTCAAGGGACCATACTCTCGGGGTTTCTCCAGTCTTTGTCAAGCCAGTAAGTCTGGTCTTTTTTTGTGAGTTAGAATTTTGTTCTACATTTTTCTCCATCAGGTAGTATCTTAATGGTGATTTTGATTTCCAAACAATGACTGGTATCTGTAATAGTTACAGTAATAATAAAACAGCACAGACATTTACTGAGAAGGTACTATGTGTCAGGCACGGTTCTAAGCATGTTCCTTGCACATTAACTAGTCCTCACCACAACCTCAGAGGCAGGGGCTGTGAACTGCCATTTTACAAAGGAGGGGACGGGGGCACAGAGGGGTCATGGACCATAACCTGCCGAGTCACCTGCCTGACAAGCAATGGAGCTGGGCCGCTAACCGGGCAGCTCTGACCCCAGGTTCTAGCCTACTATGCTCCTACTATCGTTTCAACCCCGTGGTGTACCTTTAGTTTACACAGAGGGCCACATCCTGAAACAAAGGAGTGACGAGTCACAGTCCTGGATTTTTTTTTCCCCAGTTGCCATGGAGTCCACCATGTGTGTGAGAGTAGAATTGTGCTCCATAGGGTTTTCATTGGCTGATTTTCCAGAAGTGGGTCACCAGGCCTTTTGCAGTGCAATGCATTGCTTAATACCACCCTTCTAGCCATAGTCTTATAACTCTTACCCAAGTGACTGGGTGGGGCTATGCAAATAAGGCAATTGTGGCCCACCAAGGGGATTGGTGGAAACCCTGGTGGCGTAGTGGTTGACTGTTATGGCTGCTAACCAAAAGGTTGGCGGTTTGAATCCACCAGGTACTCCTTGGAAACTCTATGGGGCAGTTCTATTCTGTCCTGTAAAGTCACTATAAGTCGGAATTGACGCGACAGCAACGGGTTTGGTTTTTTTAAGGGTATTGGATAGCTTGCTAATAATGCAAATAAAGTTTGTGCCACTTCTGTGGGGGTGGGACCATGCAAATACGGTCTATGAACCCTAACGAGGGATTGGTCAGTTTTGCCATCCTGCTAGGCTTAAAATAAGCCATCCCAGAGCCAAGAAGAGAGGATCTCACCACCATCAAGAAAGAAGAGCCAGGAGTGGAGGGCATCTTTTGGACTCAGGATCCCTGCGCTGAGACACACTGGAACCAGGAGACCAAGAAAGAGAGAGGCTGTAATACTGAAGATGGCAAGAAGCAGCAGCAGAGAAACAGTGGCAGCAGAACCAGGAGACTGGCAGGAGCGAGAAAGCTCAGTGCCTTCAGGCAGGAGGCTTGCTGGCAGGATAGGGCCTCCAGGC